ACCCCCGCGCCCGGGAAACGACGTCGCAGCGCGGAGCATCCGCCCCGGGGGGGAGGGGGAGGGGGCCACCCGCACATGCACACGCATGTGCCCGCACCCACTCACATGTGCACCTGTGTGCCGGCAAGCACGTGCATGCACAAGTATGCACGCGGACCCGCGTGCACATACACACGTGCGTACCCAGCCTGCACGCACACGCCCCTGCATGCACATGTACACCTGCACGCGTGTGCGCACACCAGGCCAGAGGGGATGCTGCGGCCCTGGTGCCTGCTCCTGGCTGTCCTGCCGCCCCGCTTTCAGCCCAGGACAGGAGAGGAGAGGAGAGGAGAGGACGGTCCCTTACACAGGGCGGTTCACGCGCTAGGCGCGGTGGCTCCGAGGGACGGCATCGGCTCAGGGGGCTCGCGGGCGCGTCACGCAGGCTGGGGGTTGCTGCGAGGCGGGATGCTCCAAATCCACCCGGTCACCTGCCTTCAGCCTCTGGGGCTGGAGCCATCCCTCTCCCTGCCCAGTGCCTGGGGGATATCAGCATTTGGGGGGTTTCCCCAGTCTCCCCCCACTTCACACCTGGTTTTTAACCTGTCGGAGCCCGTGGAAACCTCAGGCCCTGTGCACGTAACCCCGTGCTCACACGGGCGCCTCCAGCCAGGGGGATACTGGGGGCAGATGCATTTTGCCGGGAGAGGTGCATCATCCGCCCACACAGCTGGGGCCCGGTGAGCTCGCCCACCTTTCCTCCCGGCTGGGGAAGGGATGAAGAGTACCGTGTAGTTTGCTGCTAGAGAGCGCTGGGACCATCAGGCTGGTAAGAGGTTAGCTTCCCTCCGCGCTGCTGCGGCTCCCGCTGTCCTGGAGCATTTCCAAGGTGCCCTGCAAATAGGCCGCACGCAGCCGGGCCCCGGCGGGCAGGACAGCTAAGAAATCCCCGTTCAGGATTAGAGAACAGGGATTCAGCATCCGATCTCTCCAACGGGCACACGTTCCTCCAGCGGCACTGCGGGGACGCCTGATCCGTCCTCGTCCTCATCCTCGCGGTCCGCGGAAAGGCCGACGGAGAGGGCAGGAGGCTCTAGGCTGGAAGTGAAGATGCAAAGACTCCCTGCACGGCCCTGTTTCCGTCTTGTCCAGCTACAAAGAGATTTCAGCATCTCTAGAGGACCTCCTTCGCCAAGCCTTGACTTCCGTCCCTTTCCCAGCTCGTGTCCGTCTCGCCTAGCGAGACTGCGGGTGGTTTGGGGCCGGGACGGTCTTTCCACCTGCCTGCACCCCACCCCACGGATGTCGATCTGCGCTCGCAGGCCCGGGTCATGACTCTTCTCTCGTTAACAGGCACGGGGCCGTCAAAAACGAAGACGTCTCCAAGGCGTCGCAGTTTCACTTCGACCTGTGGTTCTACTTCACGCTGCAGAACTGGGTGCTGGACTTCGGCCGCCCCATAGCGATGGTGAGTACGGAGGAGCTGCAACTACAGCCCCCGAGCTTGAGGCTGGCAGGGAGACTTGGGTTACTGTCACGGAGCGGCAGGGAAAATGGACAGAGCCGAGCACTTGCCCAGCGCCCTCGTGCCAAAATAACCCAGGTAGCATCTGCTGAGCGAGTGAGCGAGGGGTGGGGTGGTCTCTGTGCAGGGCTGCGCTTCGGGGCCGGTTGGCTGGCCGCCCCCCAAGAAGCGTGGGCCCAGCCAGCCCACGACAACTGGTAATCATCTGCAGTCCCAACCAGCCTTTCTAGCTGTCACTAAACATCAGGCAGTGACCGCAGGCCGTGGACAAGCTGGAAGTTGGAGCAATGCTTGTATCTTGTTCTGCGTGTGAGTTAGGTGTCTGTGATGCAAGGCGGACTCGAGGGGAACGTCTCCAGACCTCAGGTTGGGGAGGAC